TCAACAGTTGATATTTCAACAAACTTGGTTATCTCAATTGATCACAATTACCCTTTAACTGGGAATTATAGGTATTTCAATATGACTCAACCAAGAGTTTAAATAATATATATATAAATGCTCATTGTTAGTAAGCCATAGAAATAATGTTGTTCACATGCTACATGAAGTTGAACAATATAATCACAAATTTCACATCATATTCTTATAAGAAATTAATCTCATACACAAGGAATATGTTCGAGTTCATATTTATTCAGAATATCTCTCAACAATGAGACTTCAGAGTTGCCACTAGCACAATTTTTTCCTTCCCTTAAGGAATTTAAAACTCATATAAAGCATTCATAGGGTGCAAATCAATATTGCAGTACTTCAACAACTTCTATTGCAAGGCTTTGATTGTATTAGCAACATATGAAAGTCAACCTCATTTTAGGTAAAGATCAAGTGGCGCTCTAACTAGCCTGCATGATCAACACCCTACTTCTTAAAAACTCCCAGGTCGAGTGGTGAAACCGAAGTTTACTTAAAAACCATCTTCCTAGACAGAGTGTTCAAGAATGATGACTTTTCCATGTTCTCACTAAATTACAATTGAAGCCTATGATATATGCTCTTACTTTTATACAAATAATTTTAGTAAAAGGTTTGAGCAATATCTATGCACGAATTATTTCAATCAATGTCATTAGTATTCAAAATACTAAAGAAATAAGTACTACTAAGTAATCAAAATCTAGACAGCTCAACTAGAATTCATGTACTACGATAATCATACTTCATGCGAACCCTTAGAACTAGAGCAAACATAGTTACTCAAAATAACTATTTATTTAAAGAGACTCAATACTCATCTTGCTCTGTCAGATTGACTTTTGCTAGTTTTGCCCTTGTGATGGTAGCACTGGTGTGCTCGGTGTCCTTGCTTTCTGCACGTAAAACACCTTCCTTTAAACTTCTTTATTTTTCTACTCCTTTCGTTGTAGACGGTTCTGACACTTTGACTTTCAGTTCCATTGGCACCGTACTTTTCTGACAGTGATTCCCAAATGACTTTTGCCGAATCTTGTTTGACATAGATGTCGAACAAATCGTCATTCATTTGTGACAGCAGGTATCCTCTGGCTGTCGCATTGTCATTTCTAAATTGAATCAGAGTTACACCCGGTTCTTGACCCGGAATGTAATCTATTTCAGGACTGCTTTCTCTCGATTCTTCACCCGGAGTGTAATCAGGTTCATGATTACATTTTGTAGCACCAAATGGAGAGAACACTGTTGGAGAAGGTTCAGGTGCAACTGAATATAGCACGTAAACCAACTTTAATTGTTCGAAAAGAATAAGCATTCTTTTAGCCCACATACTGTAATTTTTCCCATCAAGCGCGGTAATTTTTTATAGATCCGGTATGACAGAAGGTGCCATAATGTTAAAGGTTGACTGTTGCAGAATAACGCTTTTAACTGTTAGGGAAAATAGCAACGTCAATGCACGATCTGGAAGCCTTTTAAGAAGCACGGACACTACGGATGTATGGTAGAAAGAAAATCTGTGCCGTGTTATAATAACACTACCTTAAAAGCGTTATTTGCCCGGTAACGGTGCAGTTAGTACCCTGGCACGCTTTCGACAGGCTACACAGACCTACTACGGATAGCTTGCACTAGTAATCACGTAGGCGAACCTCACTATTGCTCAGACGAAAGGAGGAAGAAGGAGAATATATTAAATGACTCGAATTCAAGGTGTGTTTTGAAACGATGTTGGGAGCTGCTATTTATAGTAGGCAGCCCCTCCATCCCACCCATATAATGGACACAGTATTTTGTCCACATTTCAGCGCCTTTGGCGCTACTCCTTACAAGGGAGCGCAATGTGCGCTACCATGCAATGAAATGGGTTTTCCATTTCTTAATCCAACGACAAAGTCAAAGGGTGAGGTGGACATGGAGGCTTTCATCTTTAATATTCCAACAAACATGCACTTGAAGGCTACAAAATATGCACTTGAAGGCTAAAAACATGCACTAGAAAGGGAAAAAAATAGTTCAATGGAATGCTAAGTAATTTTTTTTAACACAATAGTAAGACACATATGCACTTGTAGGCATGAAATTGAGCATTTGAAGGCATAAAGATGATCATTAGAAAGCAAGGGGGAAAAAAAAGACACTAAAAGGGAAAATTCGAAGAAAATTAATTGTGCACCCTTAGAAAGGAAAAACTGCACTTGTAGGAAAGATTTTTCACTCAAAGGAACAAAGATGTGCACTAAAAAAAAAAAAGAAACTATGTACTGAAACAAATTAAAAAAGATGCACTCGAAGAAGAGAAATATGCACTTAAAAAAGGAAACATGTGCACTCGAAGAAGAAAAAATATGTATTCGGATACAAAGACCATCTGACTTACTTACTCAAAATTATAATAATGCCACCACGTGTTTTTTAATTAATTTTCAATCTAGGCTGTTGATTTGGACTAGATCTAAGGTTGGGATTTAACCATATTTTTTTTACCTAAAGTATTCCTTCGCATTTGAATATATATATATATATATATATATATATATATATATATATATATATATATATATATATATATATATGCCTTCCCGTGCAGCCGTGCGAATTGTACCATCAAGTATGCATAAATGCACCACAACATATTCAGAAATGTATTAGGGTAAAAATGCGCAATTTTGGGACGTGCGGTCATGCACCATTAGGTATTCATAAATGCACCAGGATGAAATGCACAAATGCACCACAAAAATGCACTACACCCTTGTGCATTTTTCAACACGTTGTGGTGCATTCTTGCATAAAATTATTTTTTGATTTTTTAAACATTAAAAAATGAAAATGTGTTTTTTTAATGAATTATTTGTCAAAATTATTTTCTATATTCTTAATTCAATTTTTACCTATCTGTTAAACAAGTTGGGCAAACAACATAAAATAATTATTACTCCGTAATAAAAATGGGAAACTTCTATCCTAAACGAAATCTGTGACCTCATAGCCATAAACGGCAAATTATGCTGTGCATCCGTATGCACAGTATGCACCATGCATGGTGCATACGGATGCAAAAACGACGTCGTTTTAATAAAACGCGCGTCTTCCCTTAAAAAAAAAATCAGGTTCGATTCCCAGCAACAACATATGAACTAAAATTTCATAATCGATGAACTATAATTTCATAATCGATGAACTATAATTCCATAATCTAATCTATGAACTAAAAATTTCAGAATGAATGAACTAAAATTCCATAATTTATAAACTAAAATTTCAGAATCGATGAACTACAATTCCATAATCGATGAACTATAATTCCATAATCAATGAACTATAATTCCATAATCTATGAACTAAAATTCCAGAATGAATGAACAATATAATGTTGTTGCTCGGAATCGAACCTGAATTTTTTTTAAAAGGGAGACGCGCGTTTTTTAATAAAATAACGTTGTTTTGACATCCGTATGCACCAGCATAACTATTGGCCATAAACCGTACACCTATTTTGTTCTTCAGTGTATAGCATTATCAGTTCCGTATGACAATGACCTAGTTGTGATCCAGGCTGGCCAACAATTATCCACACAGTTTAGATTATCATAGGCAAGTGGAATTCCTCCACTTACAATATAGATTTATTATTTCATGTTAAATATCTGCAAGAATTTTATGTACCGGTATAGTTGTACTAGAATTTTATATGGGCGATGCTTAAATATTCGTGTCTAATATTAAAATATTAATAAATATAAATAATTAAAAGTTATATTTTAAGTTATATACTCTTTCCGTTCTTAATTGATTCTCTTATTTGTTTTTTGCACAGTTTTTAATACTCTGTACTACATAATAAATGTTACTAACTTTTCAATTTTGTCTTTCCAATGTAGATGTTATTCGTACAAAGTACAATTGTACTTACCTCTAAAAATTTGAAAAGTCAAAAGGGTAAATTAGGAAATGTAGAGTAATAGTTATGTTTAATTTTGAAAATATGACACTATTTTGGGACAAACTAAAAACGAAAGTAAGACAGGTAAAATGAGACGGAGGGAGTATATGTATATATATATATATATATAGTTAAGTTTAGGTTCGGTCGCGTCTTCCCGTGCAGTCAGTGCGACCGCACCAATAGTTAAGCAAACCTACACCATCAACGTTAGGAAATGAACTACAAAAACACACATAAATTAAGTACACATCACCAAAACACACCATTAGGTATGAATAAAAGCACCACATAGTGTTCAGAAATACAACATTAGGGGTAGGGAGTTATATGGTGTATTTTTTTTTTTAATGTATTTTTACATTTTATTGTTGTGTGTTTCTCTTACACTATTGGTGCCTATTGTTAACACTATTGGTGTATTCTACAAATGGCCGCAAGGGAGATGCGACCGCATTTGAACAAACTTTTATATATATATATATATATATATATATTATACACACATGATTTATCATTCATAGAAATTTAATTAAAATTAATCAATAATTAAATTTATTATATAATAATTTTAATAAAATTATAAATAAATATATAATAGGAAAACGATATAATAGATATAAATGTATGGTAATAATGATGGACTCATCAATGTTAGAATTAAATAGTAACAGAGTTATAAAGGTGTAAGGGTAATTTTGTCTAACAAGAGTGTAGTAGGGACAATTTTGTCCAATAAAATTGAATTGTATAACATTTAAAGAAAATTGTATACCTTTATTAACATACAAAAAATGAACATAAATCAAGGATATAACTTGGATTGAGACTTATATATTATGCTTTATATATTTCTTTTCGATATCAAATTAATTTTTTAGTTTTTTTTTTTTTTTTTTTTTCTATTAGGATGATGAGAACAATATGTTTGTATATATACAAAACAGAAACACAATATAAAATATATACAGGGGATAATGAACTAATAGAAATATACTACAACTAGGACTGTAGAGTCCTAACAATCTCCCTCAAGCGTAGGGGTCATGGCGGACAACCTGAAGCTTATCACGAAGAACACAAACCGGAAAGCGAGCAGAGGCTTAGTGAAAATATCAGCAACCAGCTCTTTGATAGATATTGATTTAACCAGAAGCTCTCCCGAAGCAACCTTATCCCTCACAAAGTATTAGTCGATCTCAATGTGCTTAGTCCGAGCATGAAACACCATATTATCACTCATGTAAGTAAGCAGCGAAGACACGCCAAGCTCACGCAACAAAGACATATAATCCAAGTGACTTCAGTAGAGACACAACCCAAGAACACTGCAAATCCACTCGTCGACTTGCGATCAACAGGACAACCAACCTAGTCAGAATTTGAAAAGACATGTAAAGCGAAAGAAACATTTTTTGCGTAGACGTAATCCATAGTCCCTTTAACATACTGCAAAACACGCTTCGGCTGAGCCTAATGAGCCTCTGTGTGTGAGTGCATATGCTGACATCATAGGTTGATCACATACAGATAGGTCCATACACGTGTCGTCAAATACTGAAGAGCACCCGCTAAGCTTTTGTACTTAGTCAAATAAGCAAACAGATCATCTGAAAGAACAGTAGAACACACAACAGCAAGCCTAGAGGCTTACAGTCCACCATACCAGTGCACTTTAGAATGTCACACATATACCACTTCTGAGAGAGAACACAACCACTGTCACGGGCAACAATCTCAATACCAAGAAAAAAACTCGGAGACCCTAAATCACAGATCTTAAACACAGCAGATAACTTCGAAAGAAGAACATCAACCAATTGTCAATCACTACCCATAACCAGTATGTTAGCAACATAGACCAACAGATACACATGAGAGGCAGCCTGAGTATAAATAAATAAGGAAACAGATACACATGAGAGGCAGCTTGAGTATAAATAAATAAGGAAACATCAGTTTTAGAAGCATGAAAACCAACAGAAATCAAGAAATCATGTAACCTTGTAAACCAAATCCGCAAAGCCTGTTTCAGAGCATACAGAGATGTTGCAGCAAACACACATGCTCAGGACAGTTTGCGTCAGCATAGCCAAGTAGTTGACGCATGTACACAGTTTCGGGCAAGTTTCCATTCAAAAAGGCGTTATGAACATCCAACTGGCGAATCACCCAATTAGAGGAAACCGCAAGAGCTAACAAAAGTCGAACCGTGGTTGGCTTAACCACCGGACTGAAGGTGTCAAAGAAATCCTGACTTGCGATTTGATTAAAGCCTTTGGCAACCAATCAGTTCTTGTTACACTCAATTGACCCATTAGCCTTCTGTTTAGTGCGAAATACCCACTTGCAACCAACAACATTCATGTTTGGGTGATAAGGCACCAACCGCCAGGTATTATTGTACTGTAAAGCATTAAACTCCAAGTCCATAGCCTCACGACACTCAGGATAACGAACAACCTGCAGATAACACGTTAGATTAGGAGACCGTACATCAACAGCAAGAGCCACAGGGACAACATCAGCCACTGCAGCACTCGTCATATGCTTTAACACCATGGGATGAGTACGGATAGCTGCTTGTCGCTAAGAAGCAGACCGAAGAGACGGGAGACGACTAGGAACATGCACAGCAGCATACACGGTAGAGGATTGCAGAGAGGCCCCAGGCACGGGCGATACCACCCACAGAATTGAAGAAGACTGGCATAACACAAAGTTCTGCAAAGAGTGCTGCCTAGCAAAGGGAAAAATAGTTCCGTCAAATCAAACATGCTTGTACACAAACACCTTATTAGTCATAAGGTCCATGCAACGATACATCCTAAAAGATGTAAGATAACCTAAGAATACACAGTGAGTAGACAAAAACTCTATCTTATGACGATTCTAGGGATGTAGAAATGGATAACACAAACACCCAAAAATCTATAGAAACGAATAAAACAGAGAAGAAAGATAAGCAAAAAATGAGGACTAGAATTTGCCAATGCACGCATGGGCATTTTTTTTAATAAGGTACACGGCAGTCTGAAAGGCATAGTTCGCAAAACGAGGAGGTACTGAGGCCTGAACCATAAGCGCATGCCCAGTCTCAATAATATGACGGTGACGACGCTCAACTCGACCATTCTGCTCATGCGTATGGACACAAGGCTGACGATGGTTAATACCTAGTTGAGTCAAAACTGCGTGCAATTTATTATATTCACCCCCAAGTCAAAACCGCGTGCAACTTACACAAAAAAGAACGCTCAACTAATGCCCGAAACCGATCAAATACACCATACAAAAAAGATTTTAAACGTGACGGATAAAACCAAGTATACTAGAAGAGGAGCAGGACCCCAAATATCAGTATATATCAAGTCTAAAACATGCAAACTAGAAGACATGACTCTAGGTAAGGGAAAAGGAGACAATTTCCCCATTTGACAAGCACCACATAAAGATAATAAATTGTCACGACTAGACGAACTAACTGGACATTCTTTTAATATTTGACCTAAAACACGACGATATGGATGACCCAGGCGATTGTGCCAAACAGACGAAGGCGCACGAGTAGAAAGCAAAGTAGTAGGTGACGAACGGGGAACAGGAAATGAGTATACCCCCCCCCCCCCCTTGAGGTAGATCCTTTAAATAGCACCTCCTTGGTTTCTAGATCGTTCAGAACAAAGAAAGAAGGATGAAATTCAAAAAACACGTGATTATCAGACGCAAAACATAGAACAGAAAGTAAGGAGGCAAATAAACCAGGAACATGCAACACATTAGACAAACGAAAAGACCTAGAGGGGTATTAAAAAAAAAAAAAGGCATGACCAATAAGGGAGTATTAAAAAAAAAACATTTTAATATCAACTTAACACCAAAGCTAATGGAGGACCATTTTGACTTAGAATTCAAAAGTTGGAGAATCATTTTGAGAAAATTAAAAGTTAAAGGACTAATTTGAGAAAAGTTCATAATAAAAGAACTATTTTGGAAACTAACTCTAAAAAATACTAGTTTGTGAAACCCATTTTATATGAATACGGGAGTAGGGAGCCTATATTTAATAGATTTTTTAAATCTTGTATTATGCACATATATCTAATTTTTAAAAATATATACGTATTAATGCTAAGTAGCTTGTAGCTCAATTGCATTTGTGTGACTCTTCCAATTGGAAGGTTACATATTTGAACTCGAATGATAATATTACATTATAATAGAGTCATAGTACTCACAAACAAAAAAAAATAAAAATAAAAACAATCAACTACTAATTGACACTTCTGCCTATATTATTTTATTTGTTAAACTCCAAATTGCCACTGTCATACAAAGATGAAGTTTCTAGTTTCTTCATCTACTTCTGGACGAAGACGAAGATGTGTCCAGATGTCCAAAAGAATCCATATCCACTGTCATACAAAGATGAAGGCGACGTTTTTTTAAAAAGGAAAAATAAAATAAAAATCATTAGTTACTTTGGAGTCGTGACAGATTGATGCCATGACATCACATGATAAAAACAAATAAAAATCATTAGACTCCTTTATTTAAAAAAATTATTTTCTATTTTTTTATTTTTGAGATAAGAATTAAATAAATCCTTGAACTATTTAAAAAGATGTAATTAAACTATCAAACTACAAAAAATTCAATTAAACCCTTAAACTCAATAAAAAAAATATACAATTGAACAATTTTAATTTCTTATTACGTGTTAACAAATAACAACTCAAAGAACATGTTTTTTTTTTTTTTTCAAAATTTCTTTGTGGTTGTGCATTTTTTTTATTTTTTATTTTTAGCCAAACAGACTAACAAATAATATATTCATTTTCAGAAAAATGAACCAAAAAAAAATGTAATTTTTTAACTTTTAGCCAAACAGAAAAGATAGGTTTATGACATTCAACCAAACACCAAAAAATTAAAATATTTTCTAAAAATGAATCATTTTCTAGTAAGCATTTTTTGAAAAACATTTTTCAGGTTTCCAAACGAACCCTGGATTTCTTCCTAGTATTAAATAGGAGTTCCAGAAATGAGTATTTTCCATTTTAGTTCATGATAAAAAATATTGTTAAATTTGTCAATTGTATTTAATTAAAAAAATTCATAGGAAGGTAAGTGACTCAAAAAATTAGAGGAAGAGAGAATATGTGATGCGAACCAGGTTGGCCCGATCTTCTCTTCACACTCTAATTTGAATAATATTTTAAAATTGTTTATTAGGCTTGGTGAAATCAAATCTGGAGTTTTAACTTGGGCTAGTTTATTAGGCTTGGTAAAATCAAATCTGGAGTTTTAACTTGGGCTAGGAAAAGAACTAATTTTTGGATTTTAATAAGTCCTCGGCCACACTGGGTTATAAGGTGATACGTAAGATTTAGGACGACGCCACAAGTAAGGTTTCACACTTGATAAACCAGGATCACCATGACTTGATCATCATGGTCGAACTCTCCCAATCGAGTTCAAGAAAACACTCAGTTTCCTATCTCAAAAATTCACAACTCTATATTTCATTATGCATGCAATGGCCTTAAATATCCATTAACAAGTAGATTACAACCACGTGAATTAGATAATTATTAAGAATAGAATAAACTAATCCAAACCAACAAACTAAGATAAACATAAATTACAATATAATTCTAAGAAACTAAATCTAAAATAATTTAAAGATAATCATCCTAATTAATTAATACAACTAATTATAAAATATTCTTAACGGTTCACGTGGCAACAACAATGTGTCATAGTTGGCGCACTGCACAGTTCAAATAACCAAAGGCTACGTACAATTCATGTGCTCGTTTGACATCTTGAAATTTGGGTGTGCCGACTTCATGTGAGTACTAGGAATGCAAACAGTCGATAATTTCTTGGTACGTAAGAGAACTGGAGAAGGGTGACATGAATGACGATGATAATGCAAGCAAGAGGCGCAAGACACACTAAGATTAAGGTAATGCGACAACATCTTATGTTATTCACTTATTCTGTAACATTATACTTATAATCTCCCTTTTCTTTTTCTTTTTTTTTTCCTTCCTTTTGCAATTTTATTCTGCTAGATTGAAATATTTGAATCCCTTAATGGGTTACATTTTGTTTGGTGAAATCTAAAATAATTTCAAGATAATCATCCTAATTAATTAATAAATTAAAACTAATTATAAAATATTCATAACAGTTCACGTGGCCACAACAATGTGCCCTAGTTGGTGCACTGCACAGTTCAAATAACCAAAGGCTGCGTGCAATTCATGTGCTCGTTTGGCATCTTAAAATTTGGGTGTGACGACTTCATGTGAGTAATATCGGAATGCAAACAGTCGAGAATTTCTTGGTACGTAAGGGAACTGGTGAAGGGTGACATGAATGACGATGATAATGCAAGCAAGAGGCGCAAGACACACTAAGATTAAGGTAATTCGACAACATCTTATACTATTCACATATTCTGTAACATTATATTTATAATCTTTCTTTTCTTTTTCTTTTCTTTTTTTTTTTCTTCTTTTCGCAATTTTATTCTGCCAGATTTAAATATTTGTGTCCCTTAATGTGTTACATTTTAGTTGGTGAAATCTAATCATCCTAATTAATTAATAAAACTAATTATAAAATATTCTTAACAGTTCACGTTGGCACAAGAATGTGCCCTAGTTGGCGCACTGCACAGTTCAAATGACCAAAGGCTGCGTGCAATTCATGTGCTCGTTTGGCATCTTGAAATTTGGAAGTGATGGCTTCATGTGAGTAATATAGGATTGCAAACAGTCGATAATTTCTTGTTACGTAAGGAACTGGAGAAGGGTGACATGAATGACGATGATAATGCAAGCAAGAGGCGCAAGACACACTAAGATTAAGGTAATGCGAAAACATCTTATGTTATTCACTTATTCTGTAACATTATATTTATAATCTCTCTTTTTTCTTTTCTTTTTTTATTTCTTCTTTTTGCAATTTTATTCTGCCAGATTGAAATATTTTCATTCCTTAATTGTTTACATTTTGGTTAGTGAAATTTAAAATAATTTCAAGATAATCATCCTAATTAATTAATAAAACTAATTATAAAATATTCTTAACAGATCACGTGGCCACAACAATGTGCCCTAGTTGGCGCACTGCACATTTCAAATGACCAAAGGCTGCGTGCAATTCATGTGCTCGTTTGGCATCTTGAAATTTGGAAGTGATGACTTCATGTGAGTAATATAGGAATGCAAACAGTTGAGAATTTCTTGGTACGTAAGGAACTGGAGAAGGGTGACATGAATGACGATGATAATGCAAGCAAGAGGCGCAAGACACACTAAGATTAAGGTAATGCGACAACAGCTTATGTTATTAACTTATTCTGTAACATTATATTTATAATCTCTCTCTCTTTTTTTTCTTTTTTTTTTTATTATTTTTGTAATTTTATTATGCCAGACTGAAATATTTGCATTCCTTAATTAGTTACATTTTGGTTGGTGAAATTTAAAATAATTTGAAGATAATCATCCTAATTAATTAATAAACTAATTATAAATATTTGTAACAGTTCACGTGGCTACGACAATGTGCCCTAGGTGGCGCACTGCACAGTTCAAATGACCAAGGGCTGCGTACAATTCATGTGCTCGTTTGACATCTTGAAATTTGGGTGTGACGACTTCATGTGAGTACTAGGAATGCATAAAGTCGATAATTTCTTGGTACGTAAGGGAACTGGAGAAGGGTAACATGAATGACGATGATAATGCAAGCAAGAGGCGCAAGGCACACTAAGATTAAGGTAATGTGACAACATCTTATGTTATTCACCCTTTTCTTATATTTATAATCTCCCTTTTCTAATTCTTTTTCTTTTTTCCTTCCTTTTGCAATTTTATTTTGCCAAATTGAAATACTTGCATTCCTTAATTGGTTACATTTTGGTTGGTGAAATTTAAAATGATTTCAAGATAATCATCCTAATTAATTAATAAAACTAATTATAAAATATTCTTAACAGTCATGTGGCTACAACAATGTGCCCTAGTTGGCGCACTACACAGTTCAAATGACCAAAGGTTGCGTTCTATTCATGTGCACGTTTGGCATCTTGAAATTTGGGTGTGACAACTTCATGTGAGTAATATAGGAATGCAAACAGTCGAGAATTTCTTGGTACGTAAAGGAACTAGAGAAGGGTGACATGAATAACGATGATAATGCAAGCAAGAGGCGGAAGCCACACTAAGATTAAGGTAATGCGACAACATCTTATATTATTCACTTATTCTGTAACATTATATTTATAATCTTTCATTTCTTTTTTCTTCTTCTTTTTTTTTTCTTCTTTTTGCAATTATATTCTGCAAGACTGAAATATTTGCATCCCTTAATTGGTTACATTTTGGTTGGGGAAATCTAAAATAATTTTAAGATAATCAACCTAATTAATTAATAAAACTAATTATAAAATATTCTTAACAGTTCACGTGGGCACAAGAATGTGCCCTAGGTGGCGCACTGCACAGTTCAAATGACCAAAGGCTGTGTACAATTCATGTGCTTGTTTGGCATCTTGAAATTTGGGTGTGACGACTTCATGTGAGTACTAGGAATGCAAATAGTCGATAATTTCTTGGTACGTAAGGGAACTGGAGAAGGGTGACTTGAATGACGATGATAATGCAAGCAAGAGGCGCAGGACACACTAGGATTAATTAAGGTAATGCGACAACATCTTATGTTATACACTTATTCTGTAACATTATATTTATGATCTCTCTTTTCTTTTTCTTTTATTTTTCTTCGTTTTGCAATTTTATTCTGCCAGATTGAAATATTTGTATCCCTTATTGGGATACATTTTGGTTGGTGAAATTTAAAATAATTTCAAGATAATCGTCCTAATTAATTAATAAAACTAATAATAAAATATTCTTAAAAGTTCACGTGGACATAACAATGTGCCCTAGTTGGCGCACTGCACAGTTCAAATGACCAAAGGTTGCATGAAATTCATGTGCTCGCTTGGCCTCTTGAAATTTTGAAGTGATGACATCATGTGAGTACTATAGGAATGCAAACAGTCGAGAATTTCTTGATACGTAAGGGAACTGGAGAAGGGTGACATGAATGAAGATTAAAATTCAAGCAGGAGGTGCAAGACACACTAAGATTAATTAAGGTAATGCGACAACATCTTATGTTATTCACTTGGTGCGTGGAGCATACCCCCTCGTGGACTTCTTTCATCACCAACTTGGCTTCATCTGGATATAGACACCTCAGTAACGTGCCGTTGTAGGAGCGTTTGTATAGCTTATCGCCCGAGACAACGTAGCTGGGTGCCCGTAACTTTGTTACCTTTGCGTCTGCCTCGTCTTGTGGTAAGGTGCCATCTGCCTTGTATCGCTTGATATGATCAATCCAACATGGCTCCCTAGTCTGCACGGGGAAGACCCACGAAACTTCGATACTTGAAGTCTCGAGGTCTTCTAGTCGAGCGATCTTCCTAATGTGGCTGGGGACTCCGGTACTTAGTTTTGAGAGCATGTCGGCGTCGGCGTTCTGCTCCCTTGGTACCTGATGTATTTCATACCCCTCAAACTCGCGCAAGGTTCTCAGCACCGTGCCTTTGTATTTCTGCATGTTTCCTTCGTTGGCTTCGTACTCCCCAGACACCTGGCTGACTACAAGTTTGGAATCGCATCGAATTCGGACTTTTTCAGCTCGTAGTCCCGCCGCCAACCGCAGCCCATTGAGGAGGGCCACGTACTCCGCCTCATTGTTAGATAACTTGAAGTGGAATCGGATGGCATAGTAGGCGTGGAATCCCTCCAGAGTGACGAGCACTACGTCGCCGCCGCAACCTTTGCTGTTGGAAGAACCGTCTGTGGACAAGGTCCACCACCCTCCATCTTTAGTTTCTACTTGGTCCGTCACTTCCCGAGCTGTGCACTCCACTATAAAGTCTGCAAGAGCTTTGCCTTTGATGTCGGGCCTTGGTTTGAAATCTATGTCAAACTGACTAAGGTGCATGATCCATCGTGCCATCCTGGCGGAGCTGTTAGTATTCCGGAAGAAGCTCCCCAACGGCTGGTGTGAGAGTACGTGGAGGGGGTGAGCTTGGAAGTAGTGGGCCAACCTTTTTGATGAAGTGACTATGGCAAATACTGTTTTCTCCAACACACTGTACCGGAGCTCCGCGTCGTGTAGGGCTTTACTCATGTAGTAGATGGGACGTTGAGTCCCTCCTTCTTCTTTGACCAGCACGGAGCTGATCGCACCCTGTGACATGCCCAAGTACAAGATTAGAGCTTCACCTGCTTCTGGCTTTGCAAGCAGGGGCGGGGACAACAAGTATTTTTTCAATTCCTCGAAGGCCTTTTGACAGTGTGGCGTCCATTCGAACCCTTTGTTCTTTTTCAAGATTTGGAAGAAGGGAAGGGAACGTTCAGCCGATTTAGATAGAAAACGGCCTAAGGCCGCCAGACGCCCGTTGAGTATCTAGACTTCCTTTATGGACCGCGGAGGCTTCATGTCAAGGATAGTCCTTACCTTTTCTGGGTTCGGCTCAATGCCGTTCCTAGTGACCATGATGCCCAAAAATTTGCCCCCATCGACGGTGAATGTGCATTTTTTTTGGTTCAAGCGCAAATTAAATTTCTTCATAATGGAAAATACCTCGCCGAGATCCTCGACATGGGAGGTGGCCTTGCGACTTTTGACGATCATGTCGTCCACGTATGCTTCCATGTTTCGTCCCAATACCGTCTTGAACAGCTTTGCCACCATGCGAGTGTATGTGGCCCTGGCATTCTTCAATCCGAATGGCATGACCAAGTAGCAGAATATCCCCTCGGGAGTGGTGAAGGCGGTCTTTTCGGCGTCCTCCTCATGCATGGATATCTGATGGTACCCATGGAAGGCGTCCATGAAGCTCATGAGTTCACATCCTGCCGTCTCGTCCACCAATTGATCTATATTGGGTAGTGGAAAACGGTCCATAGGGCATGCCCTATTGAGGTCCGTGTAGTCCACGCACATCCTCCACGTTGATCCTTTGGGAGCCAAAACTACGTTTCTCAGCCACTGTGGGTAGTAAATCTCCTTGATGTGCCCCACGTGGAGTAACACGGTCACCTCCTTTTTCACGAACTCTCTTCATTCTGCCGACATATACCTTTTTCGCTGATGCACTGGTTTTCCGCTGGGGTCGACTGCGAGCTTGTGGGTTATAATGCTTCGATCTATGCCCGGCATGTCCTCTGGCCCCCATGCGAACACTGCGTGGGAACGGCGGATTACATCCACTATCTAGGCCCTTAGCTCTAGGCTTAAGCCTATGCCGATCTTCACCACTTGGTCTGGTCTGGAGGGATCCAGAACTATATCTTCCGTTTCTGACGCGGGCTCGGCGCGGGGCCAGGTCTCTTCTTCTTTGAAAATTTTCTCCGCGATCGTGTGGACCTGTAGGTCCTTACTGCCAATCTTCTTGCATGCCTTCACATAGCAACTGCAGGCTGCCCGTCGGTCCCCTCTGACGACGCCTATTCCATTCGGAGTAGGGAACTTCATACACAAGTGTTCCACCAATACTATGGCCTTGAGGTCTTCCAGTGCTGGCCTCCCCAGTATGATGTTGTGCGCACAAGTGAGTCTTACCACGATGAACTCCATGTCCAGCTTGCGAATGTTAGGGCTCGTGTCTATCTCCACGGGCAGGGTCACCGACCCTTCTGTTTCCACTGAATCCCCAGTAAACCCAGAGAGTGGAGTTCGTACCTCTTTGAGCTGGCCTCTAGGTAGCCCTAACTTAGTGAAGGCGTCGTAGCACATCACATTGACCGAGCTCCCCGTGTCGACTAAGATACAATGTACGATCATATCATTGATGTCCATCTTAATCACTAGTGCGTCGCGATGGGGTAAGGGACTCTCGGGGAGGTCCTCGTCAGAGAAAGTGATGGCCTCCCGCCTCTGCTTCTTTCCTTTGGGAAGACTTACCACTTCTCCCACGTACAGCTGTCTGCTCCACTTCTTCCTTTCTGTGGGTGTGTCGCCCCCCGCAGGTCCACCATAGATAAAGTGTATGGTGTGCTTCTTTTGTCGTCTGGGCGCCACCTCGGTTTCCTTCTCGCTATCATCCTGCTCAGATATCTGGTCATGTTCTCTTTTCTAGGCGTTCGAGGTGGACGGCTCGGCGCCATCCTCCTTCCTCCAGACATTTTTTGGTGGATTTTGTGATGGATCGTGTTGCGGCTGTTGCTGCTGCTTGGATCGCTTGACAAAATGCCGGAAGTAGCCCTGCTGGATGAGTTCTTCTATTTGCCTCTTCAGCACGTTACATTCATCCGTGTTGTGCCCGGGTTGCCTATGGAACCTGCAGTACTTTGTTTGGTCTCCTTTCGGGGGAACCTTCATGCACTCTGGTGGGAACTCGACTATTCCCATCTCCTCAGTCTGTTTTAGGATGACACTGACGGGATGGGTAAGAGGAGTTAGGTTACGCAAGGGAACCAGGCGAGGCTGTTCGTGGTCCCGGCCTTTCCCTGCGGCCGGGTGGTTCGAACGTGGTGCCTGGCTGGGCGGACCAGCTTTCCCAGGTTTCCCATTTTTCCTACCGTCCTCCTCATCTTTCTTCTTCCTGTTGACGTCCTCCGCTTCGGCATAGCGGCTAGCCGTCCTCATCAGATCTTCGTAAGAACGGGGGTGGTGGGCATTCAGCTGCTTGTGAAAATACCCCGATCTCAATGCATGGAAGAATATCGGGATCGTCGCCTTGGAGTCGAAGTCATAGACATTATTGACTTCCTTTTTCCATTTGATCACGAAGTCTTTGAGGCTCTCGCCTCTATCTTGCTTTACTACACAGATATGAGAGAAGGGTTTCTTACGCTGTATGCTACCAGAGTAGTATGTCAGGAAGCTTTTGGACAACTCCCCAAAGCTTTGGATCGACCTGTCCGGGATGGTGTTGAACCAGTCTTGGGTCGTTCCATCTAGGGTGGACAAGAATGCTCGGCACATGATGGCGTCCCTTGCCCCGATCATTACCATAGCAGCCTTGTATCTCGTCATGTGGACACGTGGGTCAGTGGCTCCCGTGTACGCCTTGATGGCGGGTAACCTGAAGTCCCTCAGCAGAGGTACGTCCATGATGCTTGAGGAGAATGGTGCTGCCATCCGTACCTCGGGTTCCGGCGACTGCTCCCGTGCCTTCACCCTTCTTGCTAACTCCTTGATCCTTCTCTGTAGCCTCTCGACTAGGGTCGATTCGTTAGGGTGCCGGCGCGGGGCCAGTTGCCGCTCCTCCATGTGTCGTCGTGAGGCTAGTTCATCGACGTGCCGTCCATCTGAGTGTCGACGCGGACCTGGTTCCTCGACGTTTCGTCCACCCAAGTGTCGGTATGGAACCCGCTCATCAACGCGTCACTCACCCGCTGAGTGCCGACGCGGAGCCGGCTCATCGACGTGTCGCTCCGCCGAGTGCCGACGCGGGGCCGGTTCATCGAAGCGTCGCTCATCCGAGTGTCGACGCAGGGCCGACTCGTCACCGTGCCGGCCCACGAGACTCGCCCATCCTTTCTGTGGGCGACCTTTTCGCTTCTCTTTCCTCGTGTCGGCGAGGGCCTCTAGCGGAGGACCCCTCGGCACGTGACTCTGGCCTTTGCCGAGCGGGCGCCCCGTGTCCCAACCGTTCTAGGGCAGAGCGGGAGGGTCCAGGCTGCCGTCTGGCCTGACCGCTTCTTTGGGTGCCTTCTCCTGGACCCCCTGTCCTGGTGCGACGCCCTGCGTCCCTCGTTGCCCGGGTTGCGTCCTGGGCATTCGCCCTCTGTGGGGATTCTACCTCTATTTCCTGAGGTCGTGGCGGGACTACTTGGCCTTGGAGTCCCACTGCCACCTGATTTAGTGCCGCCGTCACTGCTTGCTGAGTGGTCGCCTGGAGGTTCACGACTTGGTTCACCCCTCCATTGTTGAGTTGGTCTCGAATGTCCCTAGGCCTCCCGTTGTTGAGTTGTTCTCGGAGATCCCCTCCGCGATTGTTGGTGAGTTGGTCCCGGAGGTCACCTGAGGCATTGCCATTGTTCACGTTGAGGGAACCATGGGAGTTGCGAGACACCATTCTTTCAAGTTTGCTGTTGAAAGAGGAATGAGTTGTGTATGTAGTCGCCTGCTTGAGTATTGGACTCAGGCTTTCAATGAAAGCACCAATGACGGTAAATATGTTACCGGTAATAATAATATTAGAATAACGGATTGTAACAATAGTTGTATTGCCTTAGTTTCAGTATAGAAAATACAGTGTGTCCTTTGCTAGCTGAGGAGAGCCCCATTTATACTAGGGTCCGAACGGTAACAGCATGGGACATAAATGGGGAGCCTAAGCTTTTAATTTTGTCTCATCAATGGGGGCTTCAACGCTGGCTTCAATGGCAGTAAAGGAGGCATCTGTAAGAATTCTGTTCATTGAGGTTCTGCCCGTTGGTTTTCATGTGGTGCCGGGTCGGATGCCCACTTGTGATCCGGGTCGGGTTCCAGCCCTATTATCCTGTCAATAGGAATGCAAACAGCTGAGAATTTCTTAGTATGTAAGGGAATTGGAGAAGGGTGACATGAATGACGATGATAATGCAAGCAAGAGGCGCAAGACACACTAAGATTAAGGTAATGCGACAACATCTTATGTTATTCACTTATTCTGTAACATTATATTTATAATCTCTATTTTCTTTTTCTATTTTTTTTCTTCTTTTTGCAATTTTATTCCGCCAGATTGAAATATTTGCATACCTTAATGGGTTACATTTTGGTTCGTGAAATCTAAAATAATTTCAAGATAATCATCCTAATTAATTAATAAAACTAATTATAAAATATTCATAACAGTTCACATGGCCACAACAATGTGCCCGAGTTGGCGCACTGCACAGTTCAAATGACCAAAGGCTGCGTGCATTTCATGTGCTCGTTTGGGATCTTTAAATTTGGGTGTGACGACTTCCTGTGGGTAATATAGGAATGCAAAAAGTCGAGAAGTTTTTGATACGTAAGGGAACTGGAGAAGGGTGACATGAATGCCGATGATAATGCAAGCAGGAGGCGCAAGACACACTAAGATTAATTAAGGTAATACGACAACATGTTATATTATTCACTTATTCTGTAACATTATATTTATAATCTCACTTTTCTTTTACTTTTTTTTTTCTTCTTTTTGCAATTTTATTCTGCCAGATTGAAATATTTGTATCCCTTAATGGGTTACATTTTCGTTTATGAAATCTAAAATAATTTCAAGATAATCATCCTAATTAATTAATAAAACTAATTATAAAATATTTTTAAAAGTTCACGTAGCCACAACAATGTCCCCTAGTTAGCGCACTGCACAGTTCAAACGACCAAAGGCTGCGTGCAATTCATGTGCTTGTTTGACATCTTGAAATTTGGGTGTGACGACTTCATGTGAGTAATATGGGAATGCAAACAGTCGAGAATTTCTTAGTACGTAGGGGAACTGGAGAAGGGAAACATGAATGACGATGATAATGCAAGCAAGAGGCGTAAGACAAACTAACATTAAGGTAATGCGACAACATCTTATGTTATTCACTTGTTCTAGCGCAGAGCACAGTTCAAATGACCAAAGGCTGCATGGAATTCATGTGCTCGTTTGACATCTTGAAATTTGGGTGTGACGACTTCATGTGAGTAATATAGGAATGCAAACAGTCGAGAATTTCTTAGTACGTAAGGGAACTGGAGAAGGGTGACATGAATGACGAAGATAATGCAAGCAAGAGGCACAAGACACACTAAGATTAAGGTAATGCGACAACATCTTATGTTATTCGCTTATTCTGGCGCACTGCAGAGTTCAAATGACCAAAGGCTGCGTGCAATTCATGTGCTCGTTTGGCATCTCGAAATTTGGGTGTGACGACTTCATGTGTGTAATATTGGAACGCAAAGATTTGAGAATTTCTTAGTACGTAAAGGAACTG